TCCGTTTCTTATTATTGCCTAAATGTTAACAAATTAAGTCGTTATATTGTATTACTTTTACGATTTATGAGTATATTTACTTTTTTCATCAATGATAAATAGCTGTCGTTGTCCAGTTTTTGATGTGTGATTATTTTCCAGTCTTTGTTATCATGGAGCTTTTTTAATGAGCTTACAATTATATAACTACATTTTTTATTGGCTAACGCTTTCATTGTATTTTGTAAGTAGTTAAAATTTGTGACTGTGATAAACTTTCCAGATTCATAGTTTTCTGATATTTTATCGACGCTATTCCAGTTCAATATGATACACTTATGGTAAAATATTTCATTATAAAATGTATAGTTTTTATTTAACTAAACAAATTTACGTACATCATATGCTATTTGGTTTTCCATAATTTGTTTGATCGATTTTATACACTCTTTAGATAATGGATCATCAAAATGAAATGGTGTGTATAAAACGAGTTTCTCTGATGTGTGATCAAAATTTAATTTGTAAGACTCTGTTACAATATTCATGAAGTCGTAAATAATATCACTAATATTCTGAAATCGGAWACGTATTTAATATTTAAACATGCATTTTTAAATCCTAAATATTAATATTTCAAAAATTATAAATAAGTTCAATTTAGTGTGACTTTCAATAATTTATAATGTTTTTATCGTATTTTTTTTTTATAAAAATGGATGATTCATAAGTAAATGTTTTGCTTAGTAAATCATACAACTTTAATTCTTATTTTGGTCTCAAATAATTGTTTATCTTCCACTGAAAGGAAAAATACATTTAAAATACTTGTAAAATAAATCTTACAAGAAAATAGCATCAAAACAAAATCCAATTCATTTAAAATTATAAATTCAATTTTAACTCAAGTACTTAAAGCAATAATCCGTGAATGTTTACAGATAATTTGTAACATTTAAACTTGTRTTTTAGTTTATTACAAATAACTAATAAAATATTTTTAGAACATAATTAAAACACATTTAGTTATTTATTAACTGTCTTTTCAAAGATATAATATTATTACTTTGAAATTTGAATAGTTGAATGGAATAAATTGTTGTTCTTCTAATTTGATTTCTGCTGATTTTAGTTTGGATATTGTAATAGGTTCGTTTTTCACATCACATATTTGTACTCCATCACATGTTATTTCATTTGTAATTATGTTGTGATTGATGTTTATATTATCTAAAAAAATGYGATGATGTTTTTAAAGTTATTGGAAAAATATTTTCGTTAATACCTTTAATTGTGTATTTGTTGATCTCAGTGGGGTTAATAATAATTTGTCTTATGGAAACTGGGGCTTCTAATTGATGAGTGCCTAAATTTCTTAATATAGGAAATTTCAATAAGCCATCTAAAAAATAAATCCAATCATTTTCCCATGTTACGGAACCTTGGATCTTATTTTTATAGACTTCAAAATTCATTATATTTTTAAAGTTATCTCCTAAATTGTATCCATTATTTTTCAAAGTTACATAAAGTTCTTCTTTTGATACACATCCTTGGAAATCATCAGATGTTTTATCAATAATTTTTAAGTTTTCTGGTTTGGCATTTAAATTCAAGTTGCTTATAAAATTTACATGACCAGAAAAAATGACTTTATCATTGAGACTATATTCAAATAAACCAGATCCCCATTGTATCATTATATAAAACTCAGCTAAATCTGTAAAATTAGAAATTTT